TGCATCCATTCTTCATAACCATGTGGTGGTCTTTTGAAGAGTGTCACTTCTAGTCTCGATCAGGAAGTTGTGGCGTGACAAACTGACACTGAATACAAAACTGGTTGATGAGAAGTGTCACTTTAGCCAAATTGAGTTATTTTGTCATGTTTTTAATATTGATCAGTTGTTGAAATTACTATTATTCCGACCGATGGCATCTCACATCACCATCTTCTTGATCTGGGTGAGCTCTGGCTAAATTTGATTATTGAATAGGTCTATATTTTAATGTTCACTAGAATGTCAAATCAAAAAATGAAAAGACTGTTTTGCTTAATAAGATATGTTGTTAAGTTCTTACTCTTTTCTGAATGTGGGGCACGCAAGTGCATGATCCAATATCTTGTGCTTATATACTTATATACAACAACATTTATAAATATGAAGATGCATGCATATGATATCATATACAGTGGCTTGCGAAAGTATTCACCCCCCTTGGCATTTTTTGGGGGGTTTGTATAATTTGATTTACACAACATGCCTACCACTTTGAAGATGCAAAATATTTTTTATGTGAAAATTGTGAAACGAACAAGAAATAAGACAAAAAAACAGAAAACTTGAGTGTGCATAACTATTCACCCCCCCAAAGTCAATACTTTGTAGAGCCACCTTTTGCAGCAATTACAGCTGCTTGTCTCTTGGGGTATGTCTCTATAAGCTTGGCACATCTAGCCAGTGGGATTTATGGCCATTCTTCAAGGCAAAACTGCTCCAGCTCCTTCAAGTTGGATGGGTTCCGCTGGTGTACAGCAATCTTTAAGTCATACCACCGATTCTCAATTGGATTGAGGTCTGGGCTTTGACTAGGCCATTCCAAGACATTTAAATGTTTCCCCTTAAACCACTCAAATGTTGCTTTAGCAGTATGCTTAGGGTCATTGTCCTGCTGGAAGGTGAACCTCCGTCCCAGTCTCAAATCTCTGGAAGACTGAAACAGGTTTCCCTCAAGAATTTCCCTGTATTTGGCGCCATCCATCATTCCTTCAATTCTGACCAGTTTCCCAGTCCCTGCCGATGGAAAAACATCGGTGTTCTAGGGATGATGAGAGGTGTTGGGTTTGTGCCAGACATAGCGTATTCCTTGATGGCCAAAAAGCTCAATTTTAGTCTCATCTGACCAGAGTACCTTCTTCCATATGTTTGGGGAGTCTCCCAAATGGCTTTTGGCGAACACCAAACATGTTTGCTTATTTTTTTCTTTAAGCAATAGCTTTTTTCTGGCCACTCTTTTGTAAAGCCCAGCTCTGTGTAGTGTACGGCTTAAAGTGGTCCTATGGACAGATATCCCAATCTCCGCTGTGGAGCTTTGCAGCTCCTTCAGGGTTATCTTTGGTCTCTTTGTTGCCTCTCTGATTAATGCCCTCCTTGCCTGGGCCGTGAGTTTTGGTGGGTGGCCCTCTCTTGGCAGGTTTGTTGTGCCAAATTCTTTCCATTGTTTAATAATGGATTTAATGGTGCTCCGTGGGATGTTCAAAGTTTCTGATATTTTTTTATAACCCAACCCTGATCTGTACTTCTCCATAACTTTGTCCCTGACCTGTTTGGAGAGCTCCTTGGTCTTCATAGTGCCGCTTGCCTGGTGGTGCGTAGTGGTGTTGCAGACTCTGGGGCCTTTCAGAACAGGTGTGTATATATACTGAGATCATTTGACAGATCCTGTGACACTTAGATTGCACACAGGTGGACTTTATTTAACTAATTATGTGACTTCTGAAGGTAATTGGTTGCACCAGATCTTATTTAGGGGCTTCATAGCAAAGGGGGTGAATACATATGCACTCACCACTTTTCCGTTATTTATTTTTTAGCATTTTTTGAAACAAGTAATTTTTTTTCATTTCACTTCACCAATTTGGACTATTTTGTTTATGTCCATTACATGAAATCACCAAAAAAATCAATTTCAATAACAGGTGTAATGCAACAAAATAGGAAAAAAGGCAAGGGGGATGAATACTTTTGCGAGGCACTGTACTGTACCTCTTTGGCGTGACATGTGAAGTACACTCCCCTACATGTGTTTTTGGACATTAAATATACAATTTAAATTAGGCTCTATACTACAGCATTTTGGATTTGAGATCAAATGTGTCATATGAGGCGACAGTACAGAATGTCACCTTTTATTTGAGTTTTTCTTTTATACACATCTGTTTTACAGTTTAGAACAGAAAGCACTTTATTTGACTAGTCCCCGCCATGTGAGCAAGTCATAAGTACTTGGGCAAATTCACTTATAGTGTATCAAAGTAGTCAAAAGTTTAGTATTTGGTCCCATATTCCTTGCACTCAATGACTACATCAAGCTTGAGACTCTTCAAATTTGTTGGATGCGTTTGCAGTTTGTTTTTGTTGTGTTTTGGGTTATGTTTTGCATAATAGGAACTGAACGGTAAATGGTGACTGGAATTTCCTTCTAAGATGTTTCTGAACATTTCAAAATAAGTCATGATAATGCCATAATATGCCATTTAGCAGAATCTTTTATCCAAAGCGACTTACAGTCATGCGTGCATACATTTTTGTGTATGGGTGGTCCCGGGGATCAAACCCACTACCTTGGCGTTACAAGCGCCGTGCTCTACCAGCTGAGCTACAGAGGACCATATTCATGATTAAGAAAAATCATGAATAAATCATGAATAATGATGAGTAAGGTGCCTTTCAGAGGCTACAACAAAACATGCTAACCTCTCATCAATAACAGGATAGATAAGCATTTTTTGGGGGGTATGATCCTTGTGCCTCTGTAATTTCCATTCAGAATGCATTAGTATTTAGCATTCCTGTTATCGATTAACCGAATTTCCCACGTGTGCTGCTATGCAATTTTCTGTGTATATCGCTCATGTTTAATGTGTTAATGTTGTGTAGACTTATTTACAATACTGCATTGTTTACATTAGTATATTTACTATTTCTACAAGTTCCATAGCCTGTGTTGGTTAGTGCCATGTGAACACACATTTCCTGCTACAGTGGTATAGCCTGTGCTGTTAAATACAAGCCTGTTCTAACTTGTTAGTCATGTCATGCATATCAGTGCTATAGTCTAAGTTTTACTTCTTTGTTTTCAGAACCACAATCATTGTTAGACACAATTACTGTCAGAGTGGTGTTGGATTTGTGAGTGTGGATAATTAATTAAACCTCTTGAAACTGAAATACTGTTTCCTCGTGTTCTGGATGGACACCCTGTGGTGGTTGCTACCGGCCTAAAACCAGCACCTACGTTTCCCACCTATTTTTCATGGTCCTTTTGAGCCTGATCCAGTAACTGCTACAGCCCAAGGATGCCAGTTAACAGAGAAGATCCTCCATAAGATGTCATCCATCCTCGCCGACCAGCTCACCTGCCACAATCTCTTGATAATTATGGCTTGGATACGAGTCAAGGAACAGACTACCACACACATCCACATACCACTCCTACGAGGGAGAGCAGCTAGAGGGTTCTCTTGAGCACTCGAGACATTCTGCATTCAAAATGGCCATCTTCCCCTTCAACGACTCATCACCGGTCCAAGTCCCCACCCAGGCTGACCAGCAGAATAGAGGACAGAGCCTCAGCCTTTTCATCGGTTGCAAATTCACCGGGTTCCCACCTAAGGCTAACCTCGAACAGAGATCACCAAGATAAGCATAGAACCTCGACCAGAAATCCTGAGGATCAGTGTCGAACCTCGACCAGAGATCACCGGGTTCATCGTTGACCTGAGCGTGGACTGCCAGTGACAACCGGAGAGGACGCAGTGTGTTCTCACAGCCAGCGTGACGAGATAGGTGAGCTCATTGAAACAGTCAGAAAGATGGAAGGTTCCTACTATCCACCTGACCACCATCGCCAGTACTTACCTGATGGACACTGCAAGTTGTCACTTGACCGTCTCAGCCAGGCCTTCAACAATTCTCTCCTCTTACAACTGAAAGGTGTCTTAGACGGGGAGAACAGGGACCTGGGCCACCAAGCTGCCCAAAAACATGACATCATCTCAGAGATTGTCATGCAACAGATACTACAACAGAAGCGCCAGAATGAGGTTCTGCGGCGCCAACACGGCCAACTCCGCGAAGCCAGACATCAGAAGATGCTTGAGAAGCTACGCCCTTCCACATCAGCTTCATCATCAGCCCTGGTCTCGGATCCAACCCTTGCTATGGACTCCCTCACATTGGTGCTACATCTTTCTCCAGGGCTGAGGAGCTACCAGAGCTCACCCTGGCGGATCACCCCACCACTGTGCTCCAGCCGACCCTAGCCGTGAAGATCTAGCCTGCGCTGACCATGGAGTTCAAGATAATAGTGGGCCTACTACACTCGCTCCTGCCATGGAGCCTCAGCTTGCCACTCCCACCTCTGTGCTTCATCCAGCTCCTTCCACGGAGTCTCAAATCGTGTCCACAGTGGTTCCACAGTCTCCTCCAGGAACAGAGGAGATACCTGAGCTCACCCTGGGGGAGCACCCCACCGTGCTCCAACAAGCTACTGCCGCAGTCTCAAATGGTTCCCACAGTGGTGCCGTCGCTGTCTTCAGCGAAAGAGATTCTGCTGACCCCTTTTCTGTACCCAAGATCAATCCACACCTCCCTGTCCGATTGGGAGCAGGAAGACCTACAGCCTTATCTATGAACAGTGGAGCTACCTGAGCTCACCCTGGGAGAGCACCCTACCACTGTGCTCCAACCAATGCCTCCGAATGTCAGCTGGTCCATAATGCGGGAGTCCTGCTTGCAGCCGCAGAAGGCGACAAGTCCAGCCCTGCCACTCAGACCTCTCCGGTCCCTGTCTGGTGGGAACCAACTAGTCCAACCTTTGACATACAGCCTGCTGCTGTCCAAAGACGCCCTGGGAGCCCCATCCAATCTCTGCTGCAGTGGCTTGGTCCATGCCTGCTGTCCAGGCCCTGTCAGCCCCTGCCTAGTGTGACCTGCCTGTCCAAGTCTTGTGGTTTATGCTAGCCCCTCTGAACTGTGTCCTGCTAGTTCCAGCCTTAGGAGACCCGCCTGACGTCCCCGTGGAAGACCCGCCTGATGTCCCCGTGGAAGACCCGCCTGATGTCCCTGTGGAAGACCCGCCTGACGTCCCCGTGGAAGACGCGCCTGACGTCCCCGTGGAAGACCCGCCTGACGTCCCCGTGGAAGACCCGCCTGAAGTCCCCGTGGAAGACCCGCCTGACGTCCCCATGGAGGACCCCTCCTCACCGAGGTGTTCAGTATCCTGTCGTAGGTGACACCTCACCCTCTGTCCTACTAGGTCCAAAAAGGGGGGGAAAAAAAAGGGCCCCCCCGTTGATTTGGGGAAACCCCAAAAAAGGGGTTTTTTAAAAAAAGAAGGGAAAAAGTTTTTTACCCCAAATTTTCCAACCAGATTTGGGGAGTGGGGGCAGCTCTAAACCCCGGGGGAATTCTTTTTTTTGTTTTTGGGTTTTTTGGGGGGTTAAATTTTTCCCTTTTGTTTTTTGATTATTTCCCCCCCCCCCCCCCCCCGGGAAATATTGGTTTGCTAACAGGGGCTACGGGTTTTTGGGGTGTCCTTTTGAAGTTTTGGTTTGGGGGGGTTTGGGGGACTGTTTGAGGTTGGGAAGGGGTCTGTTTTGATAAAAAGTTAAACAGGTGCCATTAATAAGGAAACGAGTAAAAGGACAGAGGACCTTTTAAAGAAAAGTCGGTCTTGAGAGCCGAAATCTTGCTTTTGTGGGGTGACCAAATACTTATTTTCCCCAAAAATTTGGGGGCAAATAATTCTTTAAAAAATCCTAAAAATTGATTTTCTGGATTTGTCTGTCATATTGACGTTCCCTTTGTAAAAATTTAAAGGCCTCTCTTCTTTTTAAGGTGGAAAAACATGCACAATTGGGTGGCTGACTAAATCTTTTTTTCCCAAACTGTTTTAAAAACTGCACTGTTTAAATTAGTATATTTACTAATTTTAAACCCCCATGTCAACAACTTCCAAGGCCTCGTTGGGGTTTGCCATGGAACACAATGTCCTGCACAGGGTATACCCCCTTTTTAAAACAACCCCCTTTCACGTTATCTTTTAAAAGCAATAGTTTAGCTAAGTTTTAAACCCCCTGTTTTCAGACCACCAATCCTTGTAAAAACCTTGTTTTCAGAGTGGTTTTGGGGATTTGGTTGGGACATTTATTAAACCCCCCCCCTGAACTGAAAATGGGGGTTTTTCCCGTGTTCTGGTTGGACACCCGTGGGTGTTGAACCCGGCCCAAAAACCGCACCCACGTATTTAATGATCTTTCGATTCTATAACCTAGCCAATTTTTCAGTTCCTTGGGCAAACATTATAAAAAGACCCCTAAAATTCATCCACCAAGTTTGTAGGTCAGTTTGACTCTTTTTTTCAAAAAGGGGAAATCGTCCAAATACTTATGACTTCTTCAAAGGAGGGCTAGATACATAAGTGCTTTCTTTTTTTAAATGGGGGAACAGATTGTATAAAATATCCTAAAATAAAGGGGCATTCTGAAATGTCGCTTAATTTTAAACATTATCTCTAAAATGTAAAAAGGTGGAGTGTAGAGCCAAATAAAACGTTTAACTTCACTGTACAAAAAAACATATGGGGAGTGTAATCATTTTTTACAATTTTATTTTCCTTCAAACCAGGGTGGGCCCGGGGAGAAAATGTCTGAGACTTTAAATCGGCAATGGTTTTGCTATCTGTCAACCGCTTAAGGAGGGCCAAAGGGCCAGCTTTTGGGGGGGTAACATTTAATTTTTTGAAGATCACACGATAAAAAACAAAAAGAAACGTGAAGCCTCGATACACAACAAAAGGAACAAAAAACCAAAAAACCCAAATGAAGACAAACAGTTAAATAGGTTTCCCAATCGAACACCCAGCTGACACTCGTTCCCCCTGTTGGGGAGTCACCAGACCAAACATAAAAAATTAAAACATGACTTCCCCCCCGGCCAACATAACTGTCCCCGAGCCGGGGCGGACCCCCCCCCCAAAGGGCGGGGACTCCGGCCCCCCAAAAAACCCCCAAACGGGGGGGGGACCGGGTGGGCACTCCCCTCCCACCCGGGCCCCGCATGCCCCCAGGCAGGGGTTGTGCTGGACGACACGCACACCCCGGGCTTGATCGTGGGGAAAAACGGCCGGACGGGTGACAACGCACCCCGATTGGTGCGGGGGGCAAAGGGCCGGGAGGGGTACGACTCACCCACCCGTTGGGAAGCAGGAAAAGGGGCCGTCCGGACTGACACGCACACCACTGGCTTGGGGGGCGGGAAGCTTGGGGGGCCGGACGGGTGGCGACGCGCACCACAGACTTGGTGCGGGAGCGGGAAAAGGGCCTCCCGGACTGAGACGCACACCACGGGCTTGGTGCGGGAAGTTGGAGGGGCCCGGGACTGGGCGGGCGACGCGCACCACAATTGGTGGGGGAAGCAGGAGGGCCGTCCCGGGACTAAAGCCCCCCCCACGGCTTGGTGGGGGAGTTTTGGACGGGCCGGCCCGGGCTGGCGACGCGCCCCACGACTTGGTGGGAAGCAGGAAACGGGCCCCCGGGACTGACAGCACACCACGGCTTTGTGGGGGGGTTTGGCGGGCCGGCCCGGCCTGGCGACCGCACCACAGTTTGGGTGCGGGGGAGCGGGAAACGGGCCTGCCGGAGACCGCCCCCACTGGCTTGGTGGGGGGAGCTTGGGGGCCGAACTGGGCGGGCGACCGCACCCAGATCGGTGGGACAAAGGGAAGGGGCCCGGGCGGGGTGTCACGCACCCGGGTTTGGGGGGGGGCGGAATAACCGACCGTAGGGGCCCAACCCACTGGCTTACCCCGGGATCTGGAAGGGGCCGGATGGACTGGAAAACACACCCATACCTCTCGCCGTCCCCTCAAACCTTCCACCCCCCTCTTCTACCAGGGGCCCCCGTAACCTGGGGGGCCTCCTCTGAAACCCCCCCTAACCGCCCCAAAAGGCCCCCTCCTCCGGCCCGACGTCTGACCCCCCCCAAAAATTTTTTCGGGGTCCCCCTCCCCCCCTGGACCAGGCCCCCATTTCCCCACCTCTCCTCCTCGTCTCCAACCCTCGCACTCAGCCCTCAAGGGGTTGACCCATCAACGCCCCGGAATCTATTAGCGATGGCTCCGGGCCGCTTTTGGTCTGGTCTTGGTGGTTCTTTTTTGTCCGATGCTTAAGGGGAGGACCAAGGGCCCCCTTGCGGGTGAACTATTTTTTTTTATTGATAGATACCATCAAAAAAAAGAACGAAAAGTGAAGTCCCTTCGATACACAACCCAAAAAGGGAAAAAGAAACCCCAAAACACAAAGTGCAAGACAAAAAGTTAAAATGGCTCCAATCGAACCCCAGCTGCCTCGTTGCCTCTATTGGGGGGTCACTCAACCAAAAATGAAAATAAAAAATAGACCTTACACACCCTGGCTAAAAATCTAGTCCCCCGAGCCCGGGGGGGACACTATCCACTGACGGAAAAGGGAAAAACTGAGGGGGACTTTTTTACGTTTAATATTGGCTAAAAAAGGAGTTTTTCAAATCAAGATTATTTTACTATGCATTATGCAGAGTAGTAGCAACATACTGTAGTGGCATTGTTTGCTTTAAAAGTGTTATATTAATTTGATCTCCTCACAGAGGGTTTCGGGCATGAGGATGCTGGCATTGTCTCTCAGGTGAGATGTGGATCTTACAACTTAGTGTCCGTTTCATTCCGCAATAACTAATCATTGTTGTCATCCATGTAAATATATTTTTCGGACAGCCTAAATATCCTGCAAGTCTTCCAGTTCTGGAGTTTCAAAGTCTTTGGTAGGTCTGGTGAGAAGGAAAGGGATTGGTCATTCCTCCCATTAACTTCCCGAGAACGACAGAGGCCCCTTCCCCAAGAGTATGGTGCAGGTGAGTGATTGTAGGTTTATGTTTGGCAGGAAAATCTGGTTGGTTCAGGATTTTGCTCTGTTTTTAAACATTGTTAATATTTACATTCAGATCAGGTTCCAACAATGATAAAGATGTGAAGATCCAGTACAACATCACTGGTCCTGGAGCAGATCAACCCCCTGTTGGGACTGTTCACTGTGGACAAAAACTCTGGGGTTCTCTATGTGACCCAGCCTTTGGACAGAGAGAGACAAGACCAATATCCAGTAAAGTTTGTAAACAATACAAATATGTTAATGTTTGTAAACAAGACAAATATATGGTAATGTTTGTAAAACAAGACGAAATTATATGGTAATGTCTGTTTGTGTTTTGTCTTTTGAATTCTAAACTTTGAATGCATGTGTTATTTTGATTAAGTTATTATATTTTTTCCCCTTTAGCTTGTGGTTCATGCTGTTGCAGTTGGTTCGGGTGAAGCAGAAAATGCCCATTGAGATTTATTTTACAGTAATTGATATGAATGACAACGAGCCGGTATTCACCCAAGATCCTTTTACAGGGAGTGTCCCTGAAGCATCCCTACCAGGTTTGTCTCAGTCACACATTTAGTCAGATATCATAAGCTGAGGTTTAGGATAAAAGTAATGTATCAATATTCAATCTTTTTTTTTTCTTGATGTCATCCATGAAAATAATGTCTTATGGTTGAAATATTTTATTCTCAGGCCTTGAGGTCATGAAGGTAACAGCCACCGATCCAGATAAGCGTGGCTCAGCCAATTCTGATGTCAGATACACTATTATAAGTCAAGACTCTGAACAGCCGAGTCCCAACATGCTTGTCATCAACCCTGTCACAGGCTGGATTCGGGTCAATGCTGCTGGACTGGACAGAGAGGTTAGTGGCTATACTACTAGCATGCAATTTTAACTTAACCGCTACATTTCTCAACATGCTCCATCTGGTGTCATTTTCCAGAAAATTCCAAAATATACCTTGGAAATCCAAGCTGCTGATATGGAGGGAAATGGTCTGACATCTTTCGGAAAATCCATAATTACGGTAACGGACGTCAATGACATAGCTCCTCAATTGTGATGTCTTCGGTAAGTGCACAATCAGCAAACAGTCCTGATCATTAAACAGTAAAGGTGACTTAAAGAGGGAAATATTTTGATTGAAGGATCTGACTTGAGGAAAATATGATGAACTTGATAAATGGCATACAACACATCTTCTCACCTGTTCTCAAAATGTATTTTCTTTTCAGAACACGGTGTCTGTCCCAGAGAATAAAGTGAATGCTCTGGTGGTAAAAATGCCAGTGAGTGATGGAGATGAGCCACACTCTTCCAGCTGGGCCACAGTGTACAGGATTGTAGATGGAGACCCAGGTGGATTGTTCACTGTTAACACCGGGCCTAACAGACTGGAAGGAATCATTACTACAGCCAAGGTACCTGCTTGGTTTTTTATTTCTTTTTTCAGATGAGTATGTGAATGGAACTGAGTTACAGCAAATATGTATTTGACCGAGGTCTGAATTTCATCGTAGAAGCCAAACCATACAAATATTTGACAAAATTGTTGATGTTTTTGTCATTGTGTCATGAACCTAGCTGTATCTCGTTCCCGTTTAGCCCCTTGACTTTGAGAAGAACAATCGCTACACCCTGTTGGTGACTGTGGAGAATGAGGTCCCATTTGCCATCCGCCTGCCCACCTCCACTGCCACAGTCCAGGTGAATGTGGAGGATCTGAATGATGCCCCTGTCTTTGACCCAGTGGAAAAGGTTGTTTCCATATCTGAACACCTGCCAGTGACAGTGACTTGGTTCTGTATACAGCTATTGATCCAGACATCATGGCACATAAACTCATGTGAGTTCATGAATCTTTCTTTTATCTGCAATTGATTAAATTGAGTTGAGGCCCTGGTATATAGATGAGAGAGATACATTATGCAGATAAGTCAATTCAAATTATATAACAAGCACTTTATGATGAAGTACAATCAGATGCATATGCATTAAGATTTCAAGAAGCCTTGTGAATGGCGATGTTTTAACTCAATATACTGTATGTTCTAGGTATCGCATGTACAGAGATCCTGCTAAATGGCTGGACATCAACAGCGAGACTGGAATGATCAAAAACCAAAACACCCTCTGGACAGAGAATCTCCCTTTGTCAAGATGGCAAATACAGAGTTCTCATTCTCGCAATCGAAAGTGGGTATTTTGATTTCATTGTAATATCGTTCACCAGCAGGCTTCAGCCTGGGAACAAGGTTGATTTAGTTGTGACTTCTTCATTACTCCTTTTGATAAAAGTATCTTGCTTTGGGTTATCAGATGAAATCCCTGCAACTGCAACTGGAACCATTCTGATAGAACTGGAAGATGTAAAACGACAATGCTCCGACTATTGATGACACCCCCGTTGAAGCTCTGCAACCAAGACCCCCGTCTAGTGCGTTTGGCGGTGACAGACAGAGATGGCCCAGACTTTGCTGAACCCTTCAGTGTAGAACTTCTGAAAGGGTCCAAGATGTATTGCACTGCCCAAATGGACAAAACAGGTGAGAAATAGGGGGACATGTATTTTAATGGTTTTGCAACCTTTAGTGTCAAAACTGCACTGCAGGAGCACAGTTCATTGCTTTTCACATATTCACTCTGCATTAGTCTGTTGAATTTTATTCATAATATCAACAGACCAAGTATGTCATTTTGGTCTGCATGTTCTTTTGACAACATCAACATACTCTTCACATTCAAGGTTGAAATATGTCCCCTTTTTCTCCTGTCCCAGGAACTGTGGTTGAATTGACATTCAAGGCCATGAGGGAGCAGAGAAACTTCTACATTGATCTGACGGTCTCTGATGCTGGCGGGCTGAACCAAGACCATGTCATTCACGTCACCATGAATGAGGACAGGTGCATGACCTGGGGGGATTTCTGTGTTAGACCCTGACATAGATGAACATTTTGACATTTTCTTAGCGTTTTTATAGCTAGCAGAGCTGGATTGCTTGTTTTGCAAAGGTTGTCACTTTATTTGACATCAGGGGTAAGTCACAAAGTCAGAAATAGTCAAACATTCACAGCTGAATTCGCCAATAATTTTCCCGTCAAAGTACTGACAAAGGGTTGGAATTACTTATGTCAAGACATGTTTTTTTGTATAATTAATTCAATTTTATTTTTAAGTTAGGAGAGAGTTCATGCATTTTCACATTTAAAGGGAAATGTGGGTTTGAATATATTTCCTAGGGGCACTATTGATATATTTTACAATTGTTGTGATGTTGCTTGTTTTTTATTCCATGGAGAAGATGATAATTTGCATGTTTGCAGAGAGCTTTATTTATGGTGGTTACTAATCTGTGTCTCCTTGCTATTGGTTAAGTGCTCTCCCATACAACACCACAATCTTGATTTGCTTCTTGCCTTTTATTATAGCCTAGGTCCTTTCAGAACCATGGAGAGTGAAGTTTTGTACCAGAAAGCAGACTCATTAATTAAATTAACCAGCTAACCTTTTCAGATATATCTCCTATTTTTCACTTCCATTTAGAACGCTAGGCTTGAATATGGCTTGTTGGTTATCAAGTAAATTCTATAATGGCAATTTTTTAAAATCTATATGTCTCGAAAACATGAAGTTATTTCAGAGTATTTTGGACAGTTAGCTGGCTCATTTATCCTTCTTTATGGAACAAGCCCCTGCTCCCACAAGCTTTCTAGAAATTAATCTACAAACATAGCCATGTATTTATTTCTGGTATTCGCCTCAATAGTCAGAGATTTCAGCAGCATTTACAAGGCGCTCCATTGCTCTACAGTTAGTCATATGAACACCAATATCATAGTTTCAAGATAAGTGAGGATCCTGCTGGTCAGCAAGTCAATGCCACTAGAGGGAGAAGCTGCCACACAAAGTCAGTCAACGGTTGGACGATTTTATCTTTATTTAACTAGGCAAGTCAGTTAAGAACAAATTCTTATTTACAATGACGGCCTACACCGGACGACGCTGGGCCAATGTGTGCGCCGCCCTTTTGGGACTCCCAATCACGGCCGGTTGTGATACAGCCTGGAATCGAACCAGGGGGTCTGTAGTGACGCCTCAAGCACTGAGATGCATTGCCTTAGACCACTGCACCACTCGGGAGACTTCAGAACCATGACCTGCTGCCACAGTTATGAATTGATTACAAGAGACAAAAACACAGTAAAAAGTCTGATTACGTAAAATCGGAGTTGCTTTACTGTGTGTGGAATATACAGCACACAGCAGAACATGACCATACTCCACAGATCTGATAAGGGTAGTGAACCAACTGGTCATCCACTGAATGGTGTGTGCCATCCGCATCGACACATTGATGCCATCATCTCCCACACTCTAAAAATTAGGGGTTCAACAAGGGTTCTTCTAAGATCTTCAAAGTTCTTTGAAGAACCTTAGGTTCTTGGCACTGAAAATTGCCCCCAAAAGGTATCAGAACCCC